CAGGGTCCGAGGCTGCAGCTCCTGCTGTTCCCACCTCCGCCTTTGTTGCAGGCGGGCCAGGGGAGGAGGGCGGCGCCGGCTGTAGGCGCCCGGCAGGTGCGCTGGAGCCGGCCGAGGGGTGGCGGGGGCGCGGAGAAAGAAACGGGACAAGATGGCTGGAGAGCCCGAGCGCGCCGGCTCCGGGGCGCGGGTGGGCGGCCTGGCCGCTGGCACCTCAACACGGGGCGGGGCGGGGCCCTCCTACCCCCGCCCTCGCCCGGGAGGCCTGTGCAGAGCGCCCCAGACCCTTGCCTGCTGCCTCCGCCCCCTCTTTTTATATTAAATATCCAAGCTGACTTTGAACTCTCAAAGGATCATTTCTTGGGAATCCCCAGAGGATGTGACCCATGCGGTGCACATTTAGTCCACATCGAGGAATTGCCCGCGCCCCTAGAGGGCCGGAGCTCGGCCCTTTGTATTGTACTGGCTCACGGAGTCGTGGACGAATGGGGAATTTGCATTTGTGTCCCAAAGGGAAGGAGTCATTTACAGGTCTGGGTGGACCCCCAGCAGAGTGTTGCACCTCCCTGGTTATCCAGGTCTACCTCTCCCTCGGTATCACTGACCCTGGATTTTGCAAAGTCCTTTAAAGCAGATTGACTGGTTTTTGTTTGTTTTTGAACTCACTCTTGGACAGCGCCTTTGCATTTGGAAAATCCAGGTAATAGGTACAGTTTTCTGGGCCAACCAACCAGTCCCTCGGTACTCAGCTGGCTTCTAGTACCAACCCAGCTGAGTAGGTGTCCTGTTCCCTGATGGAAAGTCAACACCCGCCTTTGATTCGCTGTCCTGACTGTGGGAAGGGTCAGCTTGTGCGTGCACTGTTTAAAACCTGTTTCCGGAATGCTTAGCCACTAGCCTCATTTCTCCCTTGGGCCTTTACAAACCAGTCTCTGCCTCTCTGCCACACAGAAATCTCCTAAACACTTGCAGGCAGCCAGATATGTTATCTACCCAGAGTTCCTCTTGCCATAATTAACTATGCCACCTTCCAGCTTCCTGGTGGTTTCCCTGAAACCCGTCCTGCCCAGGCCCAACTATTCCCTGCCTTCATTCCAGCTACAACAGTACTTAGGGCTAAGCAGGTTTGTACGTTGCTGAGCCTTCTCTCATAGGCTTTCACACTGATCCCCTGCTTTGACCAAACTCAATCTTGCTGTAGAGATGGAGTCCACAGCCTACCCTCTCAATCTGACCCTGAAGGAAGAGCAAGAGGAGGAAGAAATTCAGAGCCAGGAACTGGAGGATGGCCCCACAGATATGCAGAAAGTCCGAATCTGTTCAGAGGGTGGATGGGTAAGTAAGAAGGTGTGGGGGCTACGCACAAGGTGAGGAACCAGCTTAGGAGCCAGGCTTGCTGGCAGTCTCCTGGGGCAGAGGAGAAGTAAAAATAGCCCAGCCCTTGTGTGTTTGCATTCCTGAAAAAACAGCCCTGTGGCTTTAAAAGGCAGTGCAAAGAATGGTGAGTGGTGGAGGGAGGTTGTGGGAACAGCCCCTTCAGCCTTGAGACTTATCATGGACAGATTGGAAGTCTCAGAAGCTGAGACTTTGTCCCCGTCTTCAACCTGTTTGCAACACCCTGCTGGATGCCATGCACAGCATGGGTACCAAACAAATGTGCGCAGACTCTGGGCCGAGGGGAACTGTTTTAGGTAAGACTTGGGTCACAGAGCTGAAATGAGGCTAGGCTTATAATAGTTCACCCAGGAGGGCTGTATGTCCACCTGGCCTGTAATGGTGGACAGCCGGGAACAGGGATATTTAGCATATGCAAAGAGAAGAGTGGTAAAAGTGGAATAAATTAAATGGATGGAAGTGGACCAGGTACTTCTAGTTATGTATAGTTATTCATAGTAGTTACTGGACTTCGTGGAAATTCGGTATGAACTGAATATTTTAAATAAGCAATAAATTAGCCTTACTCTGCTTAGTTTCCCATTGTGTGAAAACATTATCAGTGTCATTAATGCATACTATCCCTTGTTTCCAAGAAGAGCTCCCAGTTCATAGAACACTGCCAATTCCAGATTATCCTGTCTACCCTGTTCTCCCATGACGGGACTGGGGTGCAGAAAGCTCATCTGCTTTGCTCTGGGATATACATGTGCACAGACATTTGCTCATAAACATAGGCTTCCTGAACTGCACTCTTAAAAGTAGTGCATTTTACTGTGTGTATATTATACTTCAATAAATAAACAGTGCTAGAGCCAGCACTGGGATCACTGTCTGGCGGTAGAGGTTGTGCTTCGTCTCGGCAGGGTTCGTTGCCCAACTTGTCCTCTTTCCCAGTCTGATCCAGGCAGGAGCCAGTCCTGTCTGGCTGGAAGCCAGACCTCCAGATAGTGGAAACCTTGGGCTTTGAGACTAAAATGGGCAGCACAGAACACCTAAGTGGAGTGGATAGCCAGAGAAAACAAGTGCCCTGAAAGTGGCTGTCCAGATATGTTGTGGCGATGAGAAAAGAGCCAGCTGAAGACCTTGGCATGGGCCAAAAAAGAATGAAATAGCCAGAGGAGCTGGAGGAGGGAGCCTGGCATCTTGACGGTGTTGGGGATTTTGTCTTTGTGACCTCTAGGCAGTCTGCCGTCCATCTGCTCTTGCACATGATGCTGGGTGTTAAGCCAAGGTTCCTACCTTCATGGAGTTCATAGTCTGGTGAGAAAGACCGGGAAGTAAACAGAATTAATCATAGCAGGTACACACTGCAGTAGTGAATGTCAGCACAGCATATTCCAGCTGCCAAGAGTGTGGAGGCCTTGGCCAACCCAGAGCATGCACTTCCTGGAGAAGCCTGAGTCCTGAGCACTGGAGTGTTTTGTCCCCTTCCAACCCTGTAACATTTTAGCAACATTGAGAGACACTTTTGGTTGCCATGATTTGAAGTGGGGGTTGGGAAGTGTATTTAAGTCAAGGATCTACCTACACATTTACAGTGCACAGGACGGCCCCTTGCATATACAACAAAGAACTTTGTAGTGTGAGATTAAGACTCAGCTGTGATATTAAATTAGGGGAAGGGAAAAATTGAATCTGTATTTTAAATATATTTTTTGGTTGGTAGAGAGCTTTGTTAGAGTGATCAATAAAAGCCATTCAAACATATGTACTATGTTCTATATGAGGATAAAACTCCATAGAATGGGAATACAAATACAATTTCGGTACAAAACAAATATACTTTGAGCTGAGCCCTGGTAATGAGTGGAATGAGCCAAAGGAAAGCAAGGGGTTTGCACTGTGTGCAGAGTTAGGAATTGCTCTGGAAGCAGGAACCTGAGGCACCAGGCAGGTTGAAGGAAAGGATAGGGCTGAAGGCCAGGCCAGGGGCCAGCACCAGCCACAGGGATGTGGCGTGCTGCACCTTGTTTGAACTCTCTTAAGAAGAATGGATCCTTATCCTATCTTTCTAAGGGAAGCCCCAGGCTCCACAGGCACCTCTGTGGCCTGCTGAGAAAGTATGGGCTTAGGAATCAGATTCTCACTGCCTGACCACGGGCATACTACTTGGCCAATGTTCCTTTACCCATGAAAGTTGGGTAGTGATCCCCACATCCCTAGCATAGTGTAAAGAGTCTGAGAGAAAAATGTCTTTAGATACACTGGAGGGCCCTCTGTGTTGCGTAGTACATAGCAGGTGCTCCACACAAACTACAAGCTCACTCCCTCGGATCCCTGCTGGCCTTGCTGGGTGGTTGTGAGGCTGTACAGTTACCCTTGGAAATAAGTGATGGAAAGCCAGCCCCCGTTAGAGCACACAGCCTAAAGGAAGAACATTTCTCTGCTGAGCCCTTGATCTTCTGAGGGAAGGAAGTGGGCAGGGATGGAGGCCCCCACCTGGAAGGCTGAGAAAGGATGTCTGGGGGCTGACCGCAGACGGTCTAACTTCGCCATTCTGCCCCTGGCTGGCCCTGTTTACCTTCTACTGCATTCGGCCAGATAAAAGGCTTCTGTGGCGTCCAAGGAGGCCCACACAGCAGGGCTGCTGGAGCCTGGCAGTCCACAGAGAGTGGCTGTGAGGGGAATTTCTAAGCACTGCCCTGGGCCTACAGCAAATAATATGGGCTTGTCTGAAGATCCTGCATGGCTCAGTCATTATTAGGAGGAGATGAACACCACCTCCGCCTCCAGCTGCCTCCTCATTACCTACAGCGCTCCTGCTACCTAATGCTTCTCCAGAATGTACAGCATAGCCAAGCTGTGTCCTGCTTTCTCAGCTAAGAAGATATTTAAATAGATATGGCCTAGATCTGGAACTTCCTAGGGAGAGAAAAGACTAAAGGAAGAGCTGTCTAAAAGCCTGCGATGTGGGAAGAGGGTAAGGTGGAAAATGCTTGGGCTCTTTGGCTTTCTAGATTGAGGAAAAGATCTGAGGAAAGTCCAGAAACCAATCTATTTTTACTTCCTAGTATTTCACACTTAGAGATTTTTGCCCATTCTTACAAAGCATTGGCTTGATAACGCATTGTGCAGATAAAACTTAATGATTCTTTGAAACCATTCCAAATTCAGCAAGAGAAGAGAAATCCAGAGACTGTTGCCTAGATCATTCATTCAAAAACATTCCAAGTGACTGCCAATGACAGGAGATGCCCTAAGCTTAGGGAAGCAAAGTCCACTTTCTATCCTCAGTGAGCTCCCATTCTAGTGACGAGGAAAAGTAAAGCAAAAGAATACTACAGTGTCACAGGTGCCACCACGGTATTGAGCCTGCATGTGATTTGCTGGCAGCCAGGACAGAGCAGGTTTCCTGAGGAGTAGGATGGTTTGCCTGAGTCGTGGGAGATGGGTGGGTGTTAGCCGGGCCCAGCAAGGAACAGCTGCAACACAGAGGTGGCGGAGAGTTTAGGCTTAGTCACACCAGGTGCAGCTTTGCTCTCAGTGGCCAGAGGCTTGGAATCACAGGATGCTGGGTCCCCTGTGTGACTTTAGCTTGGAAATGAGGCCTCTCTGAGCCCATTTCCTCCTTCATTTCCTCTTCCTCCACAGGGTTGTTTGGGGAAATCAGTGAAGCACTTGCAGGGCCTTTGCTAGTAGGTGCTCCCTGCATGGAAGGTGCTCTGGGTTGGGGTGGGGGATCAGTGAGCCTCTTTGGGTAAGGGAGGGGCTGGTTATGTGAGCAACTGATGATTGGCAGCCTGCCCACTGACCTTGCAGTAGTCTGTAGAGACACTGATTTCCCAAAGTTGAGGAAGAATGGTATCGTCCCCCAGACTCACGGTGAGCTCTAGGGAACGGCTCTGAAGGCCACAGTACAAAGTGACCAGGCTGAAACAAGCTGTCCAGTGGTTTCTTACCAGTGCATATTGTCAGCTTTAGGGGAGGACTTTAGTGACCGAGAAAAAACAGCAAAAAGGAAATCAGTTCAGTTTAAAAAAGAGGGGATTGGTTTAGGTGGCTTGGCTGCCTTTAGCTAGTGAGGTGTCCCCTCCTGCTCAGGGCGGAATGGGGAAAGTGTTGGAGCAGGGTCACGGGCTTCTCTACTGACCTGGTCTAGGCATCACAGCAAATGTGCTTGCACCAGCCTCTCATTTCATAAATCAAGCTCTAATTAGCCCTTCTCTTGCTGGCTCCTCTCTGGGCAGCTTTGAGTTCCAAGTCAAACACAAAGGTTAGTGCCCTTGGACACAGAGTGTCCAAGAAAACCACAGAGATCCCATGGGAAGTAGCAATGCTTTTCAAGTTCCCAGACCCCCTCTTCCCCTTAGGCTGAGGGTCCCTGGGCTGCAGGGAGGTGCAGGTTGGGTTGAATGGGTTGGAGCGGCTTCCTCTGGGTGTGGCTGGCCCCTACTTGTGGAGTCTAGGGTGAAATGTGAGCTTCCTTCATGCAGTGTGTGTGGGGAGGGGTGTGACAGCATCCACTGTCCCCCAGCCTGGGGATGGGCAATAGAGGGGCCTCCTTCTCAAAGTGCTGCTTGTTGTGTTTGGGGACCGAGGGCATGGAAGCTGCTGTGGTAGGCACAGGGGGGCCTGTCCTCTTGCCCTTGTCTTGCCCCCAGTAGCCACAGGAATGTGGACAGCCTTTTGTGACAGACATGATCTGCAAGAGGGAGGGAAGGCGGAAGCTGTGCAGCTCATCTCTGAGACCCCGTGGGCTCTGTTGTCTGCCTGTGCCTGTGAGCCTTGAAAGGCCCGTTCCTGTTCCAGGTACCAGCCCTGTTTGACGAGGTGGCCATATATTTTTCCGACGAGGAATGGGAAGTTTTGACAGAGCAACAAAAGGCCCTCTACCGGGAAGTCATGAGGATGAATTATGAAACTGTCCTGTCCCTCGGTAAAGCCATTTTCCTTTGTCTCATGGAAGCTCTGAGCCCACAGAATCGTTTTCATGCCTCTCTTCCCTGGTGCATCCAACATCCTTCCCTCCTGAACTTGGACTCTCTTTCCTTCATACCTGTGTCCATCCCATTTCTTGCTTTTGATTTGGACAGGATATAAATATTATATCCTGCTACTCAGCGACTTATGCCACTTCTTAGAACTGTCCTCATTTAAGCTGGGCATTTACATTTTAAAAAAATTGATAGAACTGGATGTGGTAGTATATGTCTAATCTCAGCACTTTAGGAGGCTGAGGCAGTACAGTTACAAGTTCTGGGCAACTTATCAAGACCCTATCTCAAAAAAAGAAAAGAAAAGAAAAGAAAAGAAATCGTTGGGAATATAGCTCAGTATAAAGACCCTGGGTTTAATCCCTATTATTGCAAAGACAAAAAATATATAACCTTAAAAATGTCACCATGGATTGGGGCCTATGCTTTGTTGTTCCTTGGGAAGGAAGGCATTGATCTCCTGTCAGCCTCAGTAATTTGGGGACATATTCCCAAAGGATTCACCCTCCCCTGAATTTGTATCCCCTGTCTTATGAGTATACAACCATTTGGAGGACTTTCCAGTTTGATCATTCAAGTCCCAAAATGTGCAGTGGATCAGTGCCTCCACCCACCTTGTCTGCTCGATGCCATTCTTTGGGTGTTAGTCCCAGTCTTCACTAACACAAATCCAGCAAGTCCCTTGGACAGATCTGTTTGCTATCCTTCTTTTTTTTTTTAGTATAACTGAGTTTTCCCTGTCTTTCACAAGACTGGGGGGAAAGGGTTTAAATATTATAAAGTATACTACTTATTTTGGTAATGTTCCAGAACACAAACACACAGCTCTTACTTACCTGTTTTATTTCCTATAAACAGAATTCCCATTTCCTAAGCCAGACATGATCAGCCGGTTGGAAGAGGAGGAGGAGTCTCATAATTCTGATAAGTGGCAGCTCCAAAGAGGAACCTTGGCAGGTACTACGAGTAAATCACTTCAGCATCCACCCAAAGGGGATCGTTCTGGGGCCGGTGATGTAGCTCAGCGGCGTGGCGCCTGCCTGGCAAGCGCAATGTCCTGAGTTCGATTCCCGGTATCAAACAAAAAACAAAACAAAGGGGATCATTGTGAAGCTAGATTTTTAGTTTCCATTTACATTCTGGAAGGGGTTGAGGAAGGAGGTGGACTCTGAGATACAAAAGATTATGGGTTTCGGAGTTTAAACCCGATTTCCAGTGCTAACTGTGTGGCCTTAGGCAATTCTCACCTCTCCGGATCCCTGTCTTCATTTATCAGTTGTAGGTTTAAATAAGACTTGATGCGGGACCTTGTCTATGGCTCGGGTGAAATGAGGCTCTTTGGCGTTTGGTCCTGTGCACAAGCTGAGTGAGCGTGGCCACCTGCACAGCGCACCTCGTGCCTCTGCCCACGAAGGCACAGTGAGAGAGAAGTGCTGCCAGAGCTGGCTTCCTGTTCATCTCAAACAGCATAAGCAGTAACAGGCACAAAATGAGCAAATGTGCCTAAAAAGCACCTAGTCCCTTATCAACAAAAAATGGTGAGGACGGTAGCACTTGGGTAAATATAGCGTAGCTTCCAGACAGCCAAAATAGCTTTATTTGCTTTTCTCTGTAGGTAAGAACTTAAAATGCAATGTTTCAGTGATTCTAAGATGGGCTCTTCCCCTACCGTTTTAACAATTCTGAAGTACAGAATGCCTCTTAAAATCGGTGGCATGTGGTAGTTATAATGAGTGGCATTTTTTTTTCTTTTAATGACATGTAATGGTGCATCCTACAACTGATGGCATTGTAATTTTGGTGATACAAGGTAGTTTCCCCAAACCGTATTCAATTTCTGTGACCACCTTCTAAATGTAAACATATAATAAAAGTAGTTCTAACATTAGTGGGCAAGAACCAGTTTTCTGTCTTAAAAGCTTAAATATTAACATTGCTAATGTGATTTTTGCTACAGGTTGCCTTGATGCAAGGGATAGGGTTGAGCTCAAGACACAGCCACATCTCTGTAACATTAGGTGATAGTACGGGTTACATGTGGCTTCTCATTCACAGAATCATTATTTTGGCCCCCAAGTGAGTCCTAATGCATTTGGTCCAAGCATGGTACCTATGTCCAGTTCCACTGAAGTTCTTAGTTTTTTCCTAGCTTGGCCCCTGGTCCATTTCATAGGTTCTGTCACCTCCCTCCCCTCATCTGCAAAGAAGGGACAGTGACCCACACAATCACTGGAAGAATTCCATTTGGTGCTCCATATAAATTGGCACTGGATAAAGACTGAGACTACAATGCATATTAAAGTTAGGGCTTTTGGTGAACCTCAGGGTAAGCATTTTAGCCCAAAGTCTTGAATGACCAATGTACGTAATTAGCATTATTTTTGTTCTTCCTGTTTGTCTCCCAGAAAATGAAGAATCTGACCTTAAGCCCCCGGACTGGGCAAGCCCCATGCACACTGCTTCCCAGTTTCCCCCTCCTCAACACCTCGACAGATTCAGCCTGCGTCTGCCTCGCTGCATCACAGAGCTGCCCGAGTGGAGTGAGGGGTACCCCTTCTACATGGCCATGGGCTTCCCAGGGTATGACTTCTCGGCTGATGACATAGCTGGCAAGTTTCAGTTCAGCCGAGGCATGCGCCGAAGTTATGATGCAGGGTTCAAGCTGATGGTAGTGGAGTATGCTGAGAGCACCAACAACTGCCAGGCTGCCAAGCAGTTTGGGGTATTAGAAAAAAATGTTCGAGACTGGCGCAAAGTGAAACCACAGCTCCAGAATGCGCATGCCATGCGGCGGGCATTCCGAGGTCCCAAGAACGGGAGGTTTGCTCTAGTGGACCAACGCGTGGCTGAGTACGTCCGGTACATGCAGGCCAAAGGGGACCCTATCACCAGGGAGGCCATGCAGCTGAAAGCTCTCGAGATTGCCCAGGAGATGAATATTCCAGAGAAAGGGTTCAAGGCAAGCCTGGGTTGGTGCCGAAGGATGATGAGGAGGTATGACCTGTCTCTGAGGCACAAAGTGCCTGTGCCCCAGCACCTGCCTGAAGACCTGACTGAGAAGCTTGTCACATACCAGCGCAGTGTGCTGGCTCTGCGCCGGGCCCACGACTACGAGGTGGCACAGATGGGGAATGCAGACGAGACGCCAATCTGCTTAGAGGTGCCATCCAGGGTGACTGTGGACAACCAAGGTGAAAAGCCTGTCTTGGTCAAGACACCAGGCAGGGAGAAACTGAAGATCACCGCGATGCTGGGTGTCTTGGCTGATGGGAGGAAACTACCTCCATACATTATTTTGAGGGGGACATATATCCCCCCAGGGAAGTTCCCCAGCGGGATGGAGATCCGCTGCCACCGTTATGGGTGGATGACTGAGGATTTGATGCAGGACTGGTTGGAAGTGGTGTGGAGACGGAGGACAGGAGCTGCGGGAACTGTGCCCAAGCAGCGAGGGATGCTGATCCTGAATGGCTTCCGGGGTCACGCCACTGACTCGGTGAAGAGCTCCATGGAAAACATGAACACTGACATGGTGATCATCCCCGGGGGCCTGACCTCACAGCTGCAGGTGCTGGACGTGGTGGTCTACAAACCACTCAATGACAGCGTGCGGGCCCAATACTCCAACTGGCTTCTGGCAGGAAACCTGGCGCTGAGCCCCACAGGGAATGCCAAGAAGCCACCCCTGGGCCTCTTCCTGGAGTGGGTCATGGTTGCGTGGAACAGCATCTCAAGTGAGTCTATTATCCAAGGGTTCAAGAAGTGCCACATCTCCAGCAACTTGGAGGAGGAAGATGATGTGCTGTGGGAAATCGAGAGTGACCTGCCAGGAGGCGGGGAGCCACCGAAAGAATGTGACACTGAAAGCGTGACAGAAGGCCACTGAAGGAAAGCTGAGGTAACTGGCTGGGAGTAGACGCTCAGGGTCTTTGCTGGTGGACATGTTTGTGTTCACACTTACCTTTCTCTTATTTTTCTCTGTTGTCAAGTTGTCTCAGAGGCTACAGTGTCGTCATGTAGGTAAAACACCATCAGTATTTTCTCTTTGTAGGAAACTTTGATTGCTTGGCTTGCTTTGTGTATAGTTTGTGGCCTGGACCTGCGAGCACTTGGAATATATGTAAAATGAACAAAGGGTGAGCTGCCAGAACATTTCATCTGAAAGCGGTAATGTTGAAAGAAATTATTTGGTCCTGAAAGAGCAAAGTCAGACATAGCTCCCTTCATAAGAAGTTCTGTCTGAAAAGATGAGTTTTTTTCTTTGCCTTACAAATCATGCTGAACACTTAGGGCGAGTAGGACCAGGGCAGTACAGTGTCGTGTGGGCCTCAGATCTCTGTCCTGGAGTGGTCTGCACTGTGCCCCCAGGGAGGTACAAGTTTAGCTTCTGATTGCTTTTCCCAAGGCTTTCTTTCCATCATTGTGTCATACTCAGCTTCCGATGGGGTGAGCAGCTATGGTAGTAGTTTCCTGTAGTGAGCAGATGTCTGAAGGAAGTTGTTTTTAAATGGAATCGTAGCACCGGAGGATTAAAATAAAACAGTGCAGATTTAGGACTATAGTGAGTAAAGTCTGAAGCCCATGGACAACAGCTCTGAGTTCAGAGGAGGAGCAGCTTTAAAAGCAAGCAGGGAATAATGGGAGCCCAGCAGAGCCAACTGAGCCAAATGAGCACACAGCCTCCGCTCACCTCCCGCTCACCCCCCCCCCCCCCGCCAGGAGCGGGGGAGTGGCCACACACAATAGGAGACAGGCAGATCCAGGGAGTGAGCTGACAAGCTTGCTTTAACTTCCCCAGTCTCGTTTTCCTAATTATCACGAACCCTGTTCCTCCAGACAGTATTTGAAGAGGGGCGAGGGCATTCCTTTGACAGAGGACCTGAAGCTATCTTGACACCCTTTTTCTGTCTTAAAGTATAACTAGGTATTTGCATTCTACTTTTTCCTGCAAGTAAAACACTAATATGAATCTTCTTCCAGCCCATTTCCTGCTGTTTAAGCGCATCCGCGGGTTAAAGTGTGAGTTAGGCCTCCTTCCTTTCACCCAAATGAAGTTGTACTCCTATCACTCACTGGATTCCATTGTAGTTCCGAGATCCCTGAATGACAGTGGAGCAAGGACTGCTTACTCTTATGCTCCAAATCACTGAAATTTTTTTTCTTTCATGTCCCGTCTTTTAAAAATCCTGTAAATTCAGCCTCTTTTTCCACTGATTGTTATCTGCCTCCACTGGTTGTCAAACTTTGGGTTACCTCATTTTTATCATTCCTTTTTTTTTTTTTTTTTAAATTTTTCACCCCTTGTTAAGATATCACTTTGGGGAATTTTCAATTTTCTAAGCTGTTCCCTACCCATGGGACCAGATCCAACACAAGAGGGAAGAAACCTCTTCCAAGCTGCTGCTGTGAACCTCTCTTCCCTACCCGCGTGAGCTTTTGCTCCTCTAGATGGGCCCCGTGCTCTGTGTGGCGGAGGAAGTGATGGAAGTGAATGAGATGTAGGAGATGCCCTGGCACAAAACTGCCTCTTGTCGTCTGTCTGGAAATCTGATTAATGGAATTACTGTTGTTTTAAATGGTTAAGATATTGAGAAATACAAGGGTTAACTCACACTTAGGTTCTGTCTGTTTTACAGCAGATGGATCTGTGTTGGAAACAGTTGGGAAGGAGAATCCTCAAGTTTATTCCCGAAAGTGTGGGTGTGCAGGAGCAGCAGAAAGAGCAACTGGGCTCTGAACAGCCTGGGTATAGACGGTGGCCCGTGCAGCCATCCAGGGACACAGTCCCTCTGCCCCTACCCTGAAAGGTGTCAGCAGTGTCTTAAGATCCTTCATTTGAACAGAGACAAGATGAGAAAAGAAACTTTCTGCCCCGCTTCTTGTTTTGGAGAGTCCTTCATCTGCCCATCAGAAGAAACCTGTAAATATGAATGAGCAAAGGTATTTCTTGGAGAAGAGGCCATTTGGTCAACACCAACAAGAGACTCATGGTGTGGGCACAACTCTTGCGGTGTCCTTTCTGTGGAGAAAAACCCCAAGTACATCTTTTATTCTGCTTCTGAAAATGCTCCCGGAAGTAGACCCTGTCCTGCGCAGGTCAAGACTACAAAGAAGGCTTTTTGTAGAAAAGTGTCACTTACGTACACCTGCTACTTACACGTCACCTTCAGGAAAATCAGATGCTAATGATAACAGCAAAATTAAGACAAACTGGCCCGGCACCAACAGATGGCTTTTCTATAGACAAACTAGACTAGTATGGAAGATATAGCTTAAAAGAAACGATGCTGTTCTGTTTAGCATACCAATCTGGTTGGCAGCTAGACTTTTTTAGGGTCGTGTTTAATGGCCCTCTTTTTTCACTATATTTAATGATCAAGCAGCCCGTAGTCCACAAGCCCTTCTGTTTCTCAGGCTGCCTATAGAAGTCACTATGAATTATCTGCTGTCTGCGTGGTACACAGCCCACTGACTCATCTACTTGTTCTGTTAATTTCTTTCATATTTTCTGTCACAGGGCAGGAGGACTTGAATCTTTAGCCACCGCTGTTTCAAGACTTAAGATCTTCTACCCTGCAGGAATAAGTGGGAGGTCATCAGAATTTTACACAGTAGTAATCTGCATTCCCACATAGGTCGAGTGTTACAAAAACATTCCTTCCAAGCTATCTGTGCTGCAAAAAATTACGCCAGAACTTCAGACCAAGCCATTGCTAGAATGTCATTCCAGTGTCGAGTCTGGCTCACAGGCTACCACAACCACTTTTCCTCCCAGTAGCCTCAGCTCACGTGTATATTATAAACTGTCCTTGGCATCTTGAACACCTGTTTCTACTCAGGTACTCATTTTCCTGTTACTGAGTCACCAGTCGGATTTTTTAAAACTAGTTTCCCACTCCCACACACACAAGTGGGGCGGATTTGTCTTTGTATCTGAGTAACTTCCAGTATTTGAGTTGTTTCCCCATTTGCCTGTTCCTGCAACTGTATTCCTGGTCATCCAAAATTAGCATCTAATCCGTTACTTTCCATTCCAGAAGTTTCCATTCCCTCCACTTCTGATTTTCCTTCTACTGCTCCAGTTCTTGGCCCCTTCTTTTGTGTCTTATTTCTCTGCTTTGGGAGCTTAAAAGATGTTGCAGGACTTAATTTGGGGTTCCTGCATGGGAGCCAGTTACATTGCTGAGAAGAGTAGAAAATGGGTTCAGCTCTTGTTTTATTCTACACCTCTTGAGTCTCAACTTCTGCTGAGAGATGATGCCTTACAGGTTAAATAGCACTGGAACTTTCCTAGAGTGATGGCTCTGCTGTCAGGGTCTTCTGGGCTCGTCCTTCCAGACTTACTATGATCTATGCCTAACAGAGCCCCAGTACAACTGTTGTACAGAATGGCTATTACCCTGGAGTACTAGAACACACTGAGCATAGTTATATTCCCTAATAGATAGGAACTGACCTGACAATAAACTTTGATAATAAAGATAATAGACTGTGGTGGTTTTATTTACCTGCTAGCATTGTCTAAAGTTACCTTATAAACTACTGTCTATACTTCTCTACCCAGTTTGGTACCAATACATTTATTACACTTTTGAATCAAATAAAAAGAGTGCAAGGGATACAGTGTTAAGTAACGTTGGTGTCTTTAAAGACAAAGGGAAGAAAACAGTGAGTGGTTTTAATTTGGCTTTTACAAGTAAGGGAGTCCAGCATAAATATAGTAGTTCTTTTCCTCAGTTGGTTGTGGTTCACATGCTGCAGGGGATAGTTACCGAAATTACATGAAGGGAATCCATAAAGGATATTAGTATCACTGGAAACATGCCAATGAATTGATGGATAGAAAACTCGGTGTCCTGTTTCCTTAAGTTTCTTTACAACTGAAAGCATCAAGCCAGGCATGGTAGTACACACCTGTAATCCCAGCTTAAAGCACAGATCAGAGTTCCAGGCCAGCCTGGGCTACATGATGAGTTCAAGCCCAGCCTTAACTATACAGCAAGACCCTGACAGAACAAAAACGAAACACATGAAAGTGTCATGAGCCCAGAGCCCACTTAGTCCTCACAATTTATCTATCCGTAGACTCAACTAAATCTGTCAGAGAATGATGCAGACATTTTTATTACTCCTTTTTAAATGATCAAAATCAAATGCTACCAGTTTGTTGGCCACACTCTCCTAATCTGAACCCTAAGACAACCTGCTTACCCATTTCCTTCTCCCGGAAGTACTTTGGTATGTCAAAGATGTGATAGGACACGAGTGTCCACCCATGGGCAAAAGATAGTAATTATTTAGAAGATATTCTGGGAACATCTTAGTAACTTCAGGCAATGGAAAGGTGTGACCACGGCCCTGGGTGATGAAGGTGACTGAGAACGTATACTCAGCCAGCCGGTAAAAGGCAAACCTATCAACCCTGATTTTGCCGTGATAAACCTGTAGCTAAAAGACAATTATTTAAATTCTTGAAGGAGAAATAACCTAGAATAACTGAAATTATCTGATCTCTAACAGCTTTTCTTCTGATTGAAATATTTTTCTAAATGATGCTTGGTAGTAAGCACTTATGACTTCTTAATTTTAGAAGAGACTGCACACAGGATCCCACAGCTGGCAGTGGTGTCCAAGATGGAGCCAGCTTTCAGTGGAACAGAATTTCAAATATTTGTGGGGCTCTCTTGAAAATCCTTATTCTTTCCACTTTTCTACCTTACCTTCCACTCCATCTCCCCCTTTAGAAGATGATTTCTTGAGAACTGGCATGGGGCCTGGGGGTATAGCTCAGTGGCATAAGCACCTGCCTGGCAAGTGCAAGGTCCTGAGTTTGATTCCCGGTACCCCCCCCCCCAAAAAAAAAAAAAAAAAAAAAACTGGCATGGGACACAGATTTTATTTCATGGTATAGACCTGAAAGAGGTGAGGCAAAGGGAGGCCTCTGTCATCACTCAAGTTTACACCTGGTCCAGAGCAGCAAGGAGCTTCCCAGCTTGGAATTTCTGCCATGCTAGACAGACCCCTACAGAGCTGCCACCGCAGCGGCAGCAAGACATGGTGGAGGCTCTGGCAGCTTCCCCATCTGTCAACCGTAAGATTTACCACATACTCTTTGGGCACCATTAAGGCCCAGTGCGTGGTCTGAAACAAAACCACTTTATTCATTTTGAGTATCAGTTCAGTTTCTTCCAAACTCTAAAAAATTCTTGAGGATTATCTCGCCAGAACTCGAAAGGGCTTGTCCCAAGAATCGAAACTACAGTGCTAATTTTTTCTGTTAGTCTTACTCTGCACATCACAAGAAAGAAATGGCATACCATAATAGGAACCTGCCTTTCAGTCCTCATCTAGTACATGTTGTTGAAGTCTCTGCCAAAATCTCATAATGCAATGTTTTTCCTGTTTCTGTGCAAGGTATATTTTTTATATGTTTAATAAACCACAAAAAATTTTCTCGCAAAACATTTATTTGTCACATTTAAAGTACAAAATCAAATACACAGATCCAGATCTATGAACTATATATACATATCTATATATCCGTTATTTAAAACTACATAAACCCGTCTATACACTCTATCCATCAATACTATGAGTAAAAAAGCAACATATCTTTTAAAAAAAAGTGGGTTATCAAGTAACACTGTCAAATGTAAATTATTTTCACTTTATGACTTGAAAAGATAGAAACAGCTATTTAATAGGAATAAAATTACCAAACATAAATCCAACGTTTTCAGATAGATTAACACATTCTGTAGGAATTACTAAATAAGCATGTCAATCAGAGTCTTTGGACAGATAAACACTAAAACAAGAACTTGTTATAGGAACACATTTATAAGATTAATTGCATTCCAAGAGTTTTGTTTTGATTTTGGTTTTACATGTAAAGAAAAAATCTGACTTTTTCTAATAGCACAGCCTTTTCAAATTATTTTCTATAATATTAAACTGGGGACTACATGTCACTGTTAAAAATTAAAATGGGTTATTAAAGGAGGTATCTGATTTTTAACACTGTATAGGTTATTTCAACCAAAATACATGAGCACAGTTCTTTAGGAGAGGCAGAAACTTTACAACTTGCCAGAAACGGAACATATGATGTCACTGAACAAAACAATGTCCTGCTAATCATGAGAACTAAGTTAAGACAGCTTCTTTATTCTCGGATGTCATCTATCTTACATGCAGACCATAAGACACTAAGCCTCAGATGCCTAAACATCCCCATTCCAGGCACAGAACTTCTACAATGCCCGCTCCCATAACTGGGAACAAATACATATAAACATGGGTCATTATCAGTTAGATTTATATTAATGGCTTCATAGTAGCAACACAAAATGCACTCAAGGTCGCATTTCCATAGGAAAGGTTATATTTATATACTGTACATTTCAGTCTTGAAATGTGAACCCCAAAACATTTAACTTTCAATAATCAATGAATTTGGTGAGAGTCCCATACCCTCAAATCCTACTCAGCAGAGCAAAAGCCCTTCCTTGGCTGCCAAGCGCTGGCGGTGGATTTTGTCTTGCTGCAGCTCTTCGTGATTTGGGTGCCAGAGTTTCATGATGATTCTTTCAATGTTAAGGGCATACACAGTATGTGTAGGAATGACTTCCCTGTGTACCTGAGATTGAAAAATGAGCATGTTTCCAATTATACTTTAGTAGACTTATTTTTCTAACATAACGAAAGGTTTATACTAACAAAACAGACACACAATCTATAAATTTTAAGTCAGAACCTAATGAATCCCAGATGAGATAATAAGAAAACAAGGAGATAGTAAGGTTCTAAAATAGGAGTAAGGGAACAAAGGAATTGTTTTTCCTTCTCCCTCTCTTTTTTTTTTGAATTGGATACACAGAGGATGAGGAAGGTAAATAGGAAGGCCTCCTAGGCTCACAACTTAGAAAATAAGGCTAGTATCAATGGTTTTAAAAATAAACAATAAAACATGAAAAACAGCCAAAAAGTAGAAAACAACTAGTGAATATTTTTGCAGACCTGAAGAATCTCTTAACCTGTCCATAAATCCAGATAAACTTTAAGCAGTCAAGAATTACCTGCAAAGCTTCAAAAAGGTCATACATGTTCACTGGAGGCAGAGAGGCAGGCAGTGTGTCCCCAGAGCAAGCCAGTAAGAGTGCAGCCTGCTGCTCAGCATCGTCAGGGGGGGGGTGAGAAGATGGATTCTGACCAGCACAGGGAGCAGAAAAGGCTGGAGGGCTGAAAAGAACAATTTGAGAAACACTCCCAGCATGTATAGTGGAGACAACTGAGTAGATAGAGTGGTTTGCGAGAATGCATTTTATTAGTAGTACCTTTAAATGCATTAGAAACCCACTCAATGCATACACGAACTGTCCATAATTTTAATTTTTAGAAGTAGCCCATCTACAAGCTAGAAATGAAGTATAATCAACTACATTTACCCAGCTTCCTCTATAATGTTAAAATGATTTACTTAGCTCAGGCTACCAGTTCAAAACCGATTCCTGCTCTTAAAAATTTAATAGAAAACCTAAAGAAATACAGAACTGAAAACGAATGACCTGGACAAGGAAGTGTGTAGCAGTAAGACAACAAGCTCAAAACTAAAAAATAAGGAAAGATACGGCACGGCACGGGCTAAGTGGAGGGTGGGGAAAGCCAATCCAGATCTTGCTTATCTCCCCCATAGAATTCAAGAGGAGAAGTCAGGCATGATTTTGACCTTACAGCACCGTGAGAGATAACCTGTCTGATTACATAACAAGGAAGTAAAACAAAGGACTGGGGCAACAACTAGTGTGGGTTTGAAGCATCGCACAAAAGAGGTCCTGTTAGAACAGCAGCTATGGAGAAGGACTGGCCAGCAGGGACTGAAGTCTCCAGGCACAGTCAAAAACACTGCCCCCAACAAGCCCCACTACGAGGGCCATTTTTGTAATTGGTTAGTTCGTCCTCTCTAGGGAATAATGACTTACAAACGAAACCATCCCAAACAGATACGCTTGAATGAGAGCTAATCAATGAATTATCACATAGGACAATCTCAGCAGAGAGCACAATTTACGGTGGTGCTCAACAACCTGGGCCTTGTGACCCCTCTGGAGGTCTCCACCACGGCCTTGAAATGGACACTGGTCCAACCACTGACACAACTGCCCTGTTCAACTCTCAGCTGTCCCTCCCCACCTGCCTTTTCTCTTCCTTCTTCAGCACCATCTCTCCTCCCAACCCTGCCAGCCTTACTTTTCTCTGAACTTGCATCTCCCTGTGGCTTCTCTTCTCCCTAACTGGCCCAATAATCAGATACACAAAGTCCTGAACTGAGAGGTAATTCAGTCACTCCTAGAACCATGAAGAAAATTTTATTATTGCTTTTTCTTTCCCAAGGCCTGAAGATTCAAACTAAACTTATCTTGCTGCAGGGGTGTGGGGAAGAATGGGAAGAGAAGAATGAGAGACAACACATGGATAAAGGTAATCTAGACCACCTCATAAAGGGCTGCCTCAGGATGTAAGCAAGGCCCCGGGAGCCCTCAGGGAGTGAGGACATGGGAATCTCAGAGCTAAGAGGCCAGATCTGCATACCGGGAAGCCAAGAACAATCAGAAGACACCAGCACAAGTCACTATCTTGAGCTAGAAGTCAGAGGAGGACCCAGCGAAACATCCACCAGTCTTCCTTCCACCTCTGAGAAGCCCAACAACCCTGACCCAACAATCACAGTCCATGCATCAGGCTGAGAGCAGGCCCGCACCCCACCATTCAGGGCCACCAGGAAGCATGACCCACGGGGTCTCCACTCGACAGCCGACAGTGGAGGCCATCACATTAAACAGCAGCCCAAACCCAGGGACTCTGCTTCCAATAAGAGAGTGCCAGAGTAATTCACTAGACAGCATGCAAGAATAAGACCTAAAAAAAATTGTACTGCTGTCAAAGGCACTTTAATCCTGCAAATACACAATAACCCATTATATGACAGTGGTCATTACATAAGCTCAATGTAACCCACCAGCAAAGGGTAGAAGCAAAAAAGAAACCACTTACTTTTCTATTAAGCTGTTGTAAGCTACCACACTATTCTTCAGGTAAGGCTGTGGGGTTACATTACTACCAAAGGCATATTTAAAATGCCCATCTCGTAATCGATAGGCTTTCCTTCTTGACACAACTGAGGTCAGTATATCTTTAAGGTGATTCTGCAAAAACAAATAAATAGCACAATCTCGTTAAAAGCAAATCATAAATCTTCCATTAACAAAAAGCTGTTTATCTCACTTAGATGGAAACGTGGGACAGGCTAGCACGTGTGAGAACCACAAGAACAGTAACAGAAGAGCTACAGAGACCCTCCAGAGCAACAGGGTAGAGGAGAGACTGGGACATGCTGATTGTTAGTTCTCTTTAAAAATGGGCTTGGGCTGGGGATTTAGCTCAGCGGCACAGTGCCTGCCTGGCAAGTGTAAGGTCGTGAGTTCGATTCCCAGTACCGGGAAAAAAAAAAAAAAAGGGCTTGCTCTAGTAAAATTTATTTTAAAAGATTCTATGTCTCTAAATTGGCTCCTCTTTCAAAAGTGACTTTTAAGAAACTATTTTTTTAAAAAAAGACAAACTACCTTGAAACTTGGTTAAAATGGGATAAAATGTTTTAAGATCTGGTATTTATCGGTTATCAAAATCCCTGAGTGAAAAGAACCTTTGTTCTCTCAAAAGCCACATAAATAAGATACACAGGAAATAAACACAAAAGAATTAGTCAAGGCTAAGTGTGGCGGCGGCCTGTAATCCTAGCACTCGGGAGGCTGAGGCAGGAAGATCACCATACTTAGTGGGTTTAAGACCAGCCTGAACTACACAGCAAGACCCTGGCTCAAAAAAAAAAGGAATTAGTCAAGAGAGCAGTGTGTGATTTAATACTGAATTCATCAGATGTTTGTAACCTCCAGAGATAGCTGTTACTGTTTTTGACATATACATAAGGAAAATGAGGCCCAGAGAACTGAAAAGAAACACCTACTGTTACCCAGCATTGGCAGGTAGGTGAAATGTACACTTTGTGAAATAACTAAATAAATGAATGCATACATGCAACAGTGTGCTGAGACAAGAATCCCTCAGTTAGGTGCTAAATTGACTGGTAGGTGCTGTCACTCAGCAAAAACAAGTGACTTGAATCATTAAGATATCCACCCTCATTTCCTTCCTTTAAAAAGGTTCCCTTGTTGACAAACCCAACACCAGATTGAGCAGAAGTATGATGCCACCAGCAACCTCTCTGAATGCTTAGTTTACTGAGTGAAGGTAGTGCTTTAGAACGCCAAGTATTTCCCCCTCGAAAGGAAACATCTTCCATGGCAACAACTCTGTAAGAACAGACTGACGTTTTGGTTCTTTTCTGGCAACTTCAACTTTATATAACACACAAGCCTGTCACATTCAATCCGTAAAGTCATTTCTGCCAGGAGCAAACCAACCTCCACCGCATAGACCACAGCTGACACGGCCTCCTCGGTCACGTTGTCCAGCCCATGCTCGTAGGCGGTCACTATCATCCTCCCCTCCAGCTGCCCACGGGTGGGCAGCATCATTGTGTGGGAGCACAGTTTCAGGTCGTCGTCATCTTGGGGGTCCTTGGCCACAAACTGCTGAGCTCCAGAGAGGGGGTTCTGAGGCTGGAATCTATGCTGTGAGTAAAAACACTTCAGAATCATCCACTGCAGTAAAAGTAGTAAGACACAAAAAAGTAATCCACATGTCAGGCTAAAGTAAGATCCTGTATACTGATGCCACCAAAACTGTACAACACGGGGAAAATATTAAAAGGTAAAAGGGTAACTCATTCACACACAGAGAAATCGTAAGTTTAGGGAATAACATATGTATTCAGTTTACTCAATTAATACCTAAGTGATCACAGGATGTATGCTCCTGTGCTCAAAGTAACAGAGAAGGAAGCTAGGTATGGCGGCATAGTTCTGTAATCCCAGCACTCTGGAGGCTGAGGGAGAAGGATCACCAAGAGTTCGAGGCCAGCCTGAGCTACATAATGAATTCAAAGGTACCCTGAACTATATAGTGAGGTCTCAAAAAAAAAGAAAATAGTACGAACAGATACACAACTATATTTAAAAAGTCAGAGAAGTTTAAGTATAACCATAAATAAGTAGGAGCAAAAAATAAAAACATAATTAATGCTTCACTTAAGCCTACCTAACCCATAAGATAGACCTAACTAACAAATACTTCAAGACAAAGCTACAACAGCCTGTTAACTATATAGTTACTGTTATTTTCTACTTACAATTCTCAACACAGAACCTATCTAGAACACAGTTACACTAAAATCTTTTGCATTCATAAAGTCGCAACTTTCCTCAGGCAACTCTGATGGCCCGTTTATATCTCTATCGTCACTGGGAGATATGTGCCTGGCAGCTTTGGCTTAAACCCAACGAAACATTTTGTAGAAGCCAGGGACAGTCGCACATACCTGTAATCCTACTCTGAAGGCTGAGGCAGGAGCATCACAAGTTAATTTACATCACAAGTTAACTTAGAGAAACCCAAGCATAAAATTTAAAAAAGGTAGTTCAGTGGTACAGCACCTTTGGGTTTGATGCCCAAGAAAAGAATTTTAGTCATAAAGACAGTTTGTCTAGGTTTGCTTATATTGTTAAAAGACAACATTGCACCCAGGAAGGGATAAAAGCATTAAGATGTGCTATGTACATGTACCAACTCCCCATGATGAATGTAATCATTATGTACTGCATACATGTACTAATAAAAAGTTTTTTTAAAAAAACAATAGCTACTTGTTAATTTTCTGGTTATAATACTATAGTTTACATTTAAGGTGTCTCTTTAAACCAGGGATGCCTTTCTGGAAACGCTGAGACCTTACAGACTGAATATCATTACGGATATAAAACGGAGAGTAAAGGTAGAAAGAAGTAAATGTTGGTGTTAGTCAGTAAAAGTATCAATATCCCATCTACCGTTAAAAGGGGCACTTCTGGAAAACATCTTTCCCTAGAAATACACTGAAAAATTCAAGTTATTCTAAAATGTTTATCAATTTTATGGCCAAAAGGCCTACATTGGTCCCAAAAGGCTTAGGACCTGGCTGGGCATCATCAGGACCACTAATGCTTGGAAAAGATGCCTTCAACCTGAGAAACACTACTCACTCAAGAAAAATACTGAACAGAAAAAACGGGCACAGATTTGCATAATGGAAAAGCAAGTGTTAATGATAACGTAAAATTTAACCAGTAACAAGCAAGAATTTTAAACATTCCAACTCACATTTACAATTCCTTCTCCCTTAACTCTATCCTTTTTCTTCCAACTCTACTACCAGTATTTCAATATATATTCAAAAACTAAACCTAGTTCATCACATTACCCTTAAACCAAAGGTTACCAAGATCTACTGGGAAAGCAACCTACATCAAATTTCTGACGAACAGAAGAAAGTTTTTTCTTGCCCTTGGGTTTTCCAGGTTTGGCTGCAGAGCCCCCTGTCCAGGGCAAAGATCCAGCACCTTCTACAAGAGAGAAAAACAGTCACCATCAGTGGAAATCATGTCAATTGATAACTGCTAAGTGTGTTTTCATTTGGGACTAAAAAGCATGCCATGCTCAAGTAATGAAGATAAATCATGAATGCTCAAATTGAGATCTTCTCTTTGTACTTCCTCACAAAATTATAAATCCTCTCACATCACATTTTGCTCTAGCTGTAACCAAAATTATGTTTTTAGGAAGACAAATTTGTTTTTCACATTTTGAGTTGGTGTTTGTTGAGCGTTCTGTTTCTCGATAGTGTTATTATAGAGCAGGACTGATCCCCTCTAGCCCAGATGGTGAACTGAGTACACATACTGCTTCTCTTTCAAGAGAAGAGATAAAACAGAAGATGATAGCCCCTTAATTTCCAGGATGGCCTAACACGGGGCTGCCTTACAAAACTGACACGTGGAAGCTTCAACCCAAGAAAGGCAAGAGGATGGCAAATGAGGCCAAAGCCAAGCTGAAACCCACAGGAGTCTGGATGTGGAGACCATGCGTAGTAAAAACCAGCAGGGAATCCCTAAGGCAGAAAGTGATTACTACTGGCAGGTCTATAGTTAAAATCATCCACAGAAACACCTTCCCTCACCCCAGGGGCTGGGCTCACTATAAAAGAAAAACAAGAGGACCTTGGGTCACAAGTAAAGAAGTTCAAGACAGTGATGGTAAAGCACCAAACCAAGTGCAGGGCCCTCTGTGGAACTATGATCCACACCCCAGAGGACACATGCACAAAGGGATGGAGCAGGAACCAGTGATGGGTGGGTTGGGGTCAAGAAGATGGGGAGGGAGGCACAACTCTCCTCCAGTCTCTTCTGACAGAGTTTCTGGGACTTACTACAGTAGCTGGTAGGAATGCTGGGACCCTGTAGCAAAGCTCCCTGCATGCTGGTGTTTGGGGACCCCTAGTTTAATGCCCAGCTTCCTGTCAGCTCATGAAAGCAGTCCCCACAGTTCTATCCTACCTTCTTAAGCTGAAAAGGACAACAACGAATCACCACACATTTGACCACATTCAGTAACATGACGCCATAGTCCCCCCTTTGGTACTATAACCAAATACCTGGGGCAGGCTAACTTTACAAAGCAAAGGGGCTTATTTAGCTCACAGCTCTGGAGATTCCAGGTCATGGCGCCTGCATGGGCTCAGCTCCAATGAGAACCTCGCGACAGAAGGAGAGATCACACAGCCACATGGGAAGGAGAAAGCAATCAGGGGTCAGACTTGGCTGGCTTCAGTAACAACTCACTCTTTGAGGAGCTCAGGAGTCCCACAAGTGCTTCCGAAATCCATTTGAAGGCAGCTCCCCCAGTGACCTACTGCCAGGCCCCACATTTCCAAGACCCCACAACTGTGCCACTGTTCCACTGAGAACCAAGCTGCCAGCACAGGAGCCCACGGTGGACAAGCCATATCCAAATGATGGCCCAGAAAGACTGAGTTAATTGAACAAACAATAGCCATCCCAGAGAGGGAGTGCAAAAAGACTGACGCATTTCTAACTGGTAACTTCAGAAAAGCTTGAGAAGACATGTATTCACAAAACAAGAGAATGCTATAAAAACGGCCAACTTAAAGAATGTATTAAACAGCCTAAAAGAACTGAGGGAATCTCAAGAGAACACAGGGCCACAAGGCAGAGATGTCTAACTTGGCAGAGCTTGATGTCACTGGGTAAGGTCAGCCAATCTGCAACGATGTCCTAAGAGATCGACTCCAGGTAAATGGAAGTGGATGCTAGGTGACAAAAAAGTGAATTGAACATACGGAGGATGTAGTGGTTGACTGATTATGTCAACTTGAGAAGTTTAGAAGCATAACTAAAATTGGCTCAGAAATTGGCTCCTCTACACCCTAGGGCGGCTCCTGTACACCTTAGGGTGGCTCCTCTACACCCTAGGGTGAGCCATTTGCTGAGCCAAGTTTAGTTTTGCTTCTAAACTTCTCAAGTTGACATAATCAATCAACCACTACAGAGGATTACACACAGGAGGTCTGCAGACCAAAGCTTACAAGCTGCTGCTGCAGGGAGAAATGCTTTTGGAGGACACACAGCAGAAGGATTGACCCTGGCCAAAGGGAGGTTTTCCCCAGCACTTGATCCTACACTTCCCTGTGGTTTGACAGGCCTTCAGGCAGGTGTCAGGATTTTTGTTTTCTCAAGCAAGTTCGTTTTGCTATCTATAAGGACACAGAGCCATGAGGATGTACGGTGTCGCTCAGTTATGTAGTATTACTAAAATCATCTTTTCTGCCTGGCTTAGAAAAAGAAAACAACTCATCCACAATGGTTAAGTACACAAAACTACATTTTACTTTTGATAGTAATTTTCTTTGTTGCTAGCAAATATTAGTTTTATTTTACGTGTACTTTTTTTTTTTTTTTTTTGGTTTTTCTCCGGTACCAGGAACCGAACTCACGACCTTGCACTTGCCAGGCAGGCGCTTTGCCGCTGAGCTAAATCCCCAGCCCCTATTAGTTTTATTTTAGCAGAAACAAATATTGAGTGTCCAATGGAGAAATACATTCTTAGGTTCCAAATGGAGCATTTCTTCCCTTATTTGTAAATAACCAATAATACACACTGAAGAATATCAAGTTTTTATTTAATTAAAATCAGCTACCTATACTTACTAATACAATTTCATAGGTATTTGGCTTTTTTTTACTTTTTAAAGTACATTTTTATATTTTTTTACCTTTTCTCCTTTGACTTATAGAGTAGATATTACTGTACCTATTATATAAATGTGAAAGCTAAGAAGCACAAGTAATTGACTATATAAGCTAGTGGCAAAACCTCATTTGAACTCATGTCTCTTGAGCCCTATCAAGCAGCTTTTATTTGTAATCATTTCATTCATCTTCTGGGTGTGTGGCACTTTACAATATACCTACCTAACAAGTAAGATATAATCTTTATGATGTTGGATTTTCTGCTCAAATTAATTTTATACACCAAAATAGGTTATATCTATGATCCAATTCTGGACATAGAGGAGGTCTGGGCAAAGCCCGCCTCTGGTTATCTAAATAAAACACTAGAAATCTGTCACCGTGTGAGATTGTACAGATGGCATGGTGAAGGGCAAGGGAGCAGCAACTCCTCTAACACCAACCTTCACTGACAAAAATGCCCACTGCCCACTCTGCTGTACATCACTAACAACTTCTTTCAAAGTGGAGAAATTAGTGGTTAGAAGACCTTACGTGAATCTTTACTACATAACAGAAGTTAGATATAACCACACAGAGGGATGATATAAAATACCTACCATTTCTTGATAAAACATGGGATTTTGATACAAGATAATCAGAATTACCCTAATTACTTGGGGAGAAAAAAATTTAACCTACATATCCAAGAGGTACCTATGAATCCAAGCTTTTAAAAAGTCCAGGACAACTTTTATCATGAGACAAGCTTTTAATGTACCTAATTATTTGTTTCTGCCTGATTAAAAGTAGGATGGTTTAAAGAGGTAAACTGTAACTCAATCTACCACTTAGTCCCCAAAAACTAAGGAATCAAGGTTTCTATCTATAACTGTTTAGGCTGATGTAGGGAGTGTGGTTTTCACCAACCTCCCCATTATGTGGCTCTCCCCTACCTCCTGCCCTACCAAACACACATGCTAAAGCTACCTTACTTAGAATGCAAATCAAAGCCCAGGTTCCCAACATATACTGTGCTTCCCCACCATGTAATTCACCTTCCCTACTATCAAGGGCCCTCTCTTTATTTCCTCCCACCTTCTTCTTCACTTTTCACTTAACTTTTAAGTTCTCTAAAATGTAGGCGAATGTTTACATAAAGACCAAAAAATGTAAGTACAGGGAAGTCACCAGGTTTAAAATGGCTCTGTAAAAGAGCTTGTATCTGTACAGTAGTGACACACAGTGCAAGTATTTCCATTCCCTTACCTGGCGTAGAAACCAAAATCTGACACCTCGTGAGAATGGCCAGGAGGAAATCGTTGTGAGAATGGACTGAAAAGGGAAGGTTGTCAAAAGTCAAATACAAAATACTGTCAACATGAGAAAATCTCTACTTTAGCCTGAAAGAATTTTTGAACATCCCTATTCTGCCATCCTTTACATTTAAGTTTAAATATCCACATTAAGATGGCTGCATCTATCATTAAAACTAAAATTTTACTTTTCAAAAAATTTCATTTCTTGAATCTGGGAAAATTAGAGAGCAATAACATAACTCCCCAGACAATTACTTTACCATTATCCTGTGTGAGAAGTCTATGAGCTTCCAGGTCAAACTCTTCCTTGCTGATCTTCTGTTTGAACCACAACTTTAAGTTAGCCCAGTATCTGCAGAAGCAGAAACAGAACATTAAAAACCACAGATTTTGCTTCTTCCCCAGGTTCACCGCACCTGCTTCAACTCCCAGGGAAGGAAATTTGACATTCTCAAGAACCACTGGCTGAATTATGTCTCCCCCTAAATTAATGTGTGGCAGCCCTGACTAACCTCAACCCCCTAGAATTTAATTATATTTGGGAAAAGGACCTTTTAACAGGTAAAGGAATTAAAATGGGGCCACTGAGCTGGAGATTTACTTCAGTGGCACAGCACCTGACCGGCAAGTGTGAGGTCCTGAGTTCAATTCCCGGTGCCTTCCAAAAATAAAATAGTGAGGTCACGCATGTGACCATTAATCCAGTATAGGTGGTGTACTTCTAAGAGATCAGGACACAGACAGACTCAGGACGCATGAGACAGGCAACCATGTTAACACATGAGAAAGCTGACATCTGTAAGAGAGGCCTCCAAAGAAATCAAACCCTCCAGCACCTTGATCTTAGACTTCCAACCTCCTGAACTTCGACAAAACAAATTTCTTTTTTTTTATTTTAAAGAGAATAACATAAAAAAAAAACAACAGCAGAAAACCAACAACATAGACAAAAACAATACAAATGATACTGGGTTTCAGAACAAAATGATAGGAATTAACAGTAGCTGTTATATTACATACTGTTACCTTCAATGAAGTTGCTCAGATTACCAGATGTAAGAATGCAAGATGGATCAAACCATTAAAGAGAATAAAAAATAAAACACAAAAAAATACCATTAAAAATGATAGAGTTGCTTATATCTGGTAATCTGAACAACTAATTTGAAGATGACACAACAAATTTCTGCTGTGTAAACTACACAGTCTGTGATACTTTGTCATGGCAAGCCTAGTAAACTAGAACATCGAATAATCAGAATACCAGCAAAGAAACAGAAAATTCTCCCTAAAAGGGGACGAACAGATCATCACAGAATTAGACTCATGAGCCACTCAGCTAAAACCCATGGCTGCACCCTTTCTGCTCAGTGACGCCTTTCTGAAAGACTGCTTACCCTCCAGACTGCTACACTAGAGTCACAGGCAGATGTGTTTTATGGGAAGCGGAGTGGTCACTGCACTTCCTCTGGAAGATGTCTTTCCCTTTAGATGAACTCAAGTTTTAATCTAACTGCCTCAAGAAATGGGTTTCTAAATTTCTTACCACAAAGACAAGACTCAAAGCTATGAGGAAATTAGTGGTTTAAAAAATGAAAACCTGTACTTAAAAATAAAAATGACCAAATAACTGGTAGCGAAAAACAATTAACCCTTTATACTTTAGCAACATCATAAGAAACACAAGTAAACTATATCTTTCACATCCTGTTTAAGGAAGCCTTCCTGGAGCAGGATAAAAAGTGATTCTAAGTCTTACTACTTTGTGCTCAAGCTCATCTTGCATTCTGAGTTCTTAATGGAAGAAAATTTTTTAAATTCCCCAACAAGACGGTTTAACATCACCACATATACCCCCGGAAGAAAGGTTCTCCTGCACACGCATGAGCTTCAAGTTATGTTAGTACGGAACTGTAAGTACCTGTGAATGTAATTAATTAGGTGCAAAGTTTTGGGTCTCCGTGCACTTTAAAACCCGTAACTTTTATAGATAAGGTGGCACAAGACCTAAGACACTGCCCTTTCCCTCAACAGCAGAACACATTTAGCTGCAGAGCTCAGCAGCCTTTCACCTACTACTCACACTCACGAGTCAATATGTCACCAGGAATTTTAAAACAGTAGACACTTTTGTACTATTTTTGGGAGATAGCGTCTTGCTGTTGTTGCCCAGGCTGGCCTTGAACTCCTGGGCTGAAGCAATGCTCCTGCCTCAGCATTCAGACTGGTTGGGCACCTGGTCATCCTTCTTAAGAGAAAACAAACACCAAACAACCATGAATGGAGTAAAACAAATCTCCACAGAAAACAGAAGGTCTTTTTTTATTCCATTGTATTCAACAAAAGATCTTAACAGAGCACCTTTACTATTTAAAGGTCCTATGCCACTGTTTCACAGGAGGGACAGAAATAGAACCTTATTTGGTAAGAGAGAACTTGTTTCAGAACTAAGTCAAGACTATACCAGGAAGTTCCGCCAGCATGATGTTATTTGTCTTCACAAGACAAACTTTCTAGCCCAAATGGACTGAACTGTTATCAAGAGTTGAGGACTTGCCCACTCCCCGCCCCAGTCCTGGTCTGCATATTAGTTCACTGCATAAGACAAATGTCTGCTTCTCTCCACAGCACCAAAAACAGAGTTAGTCAACCTCGAGGAAGACGAGGATGACAGATGATGAGTACAAATACGCTGGACCTGGAAGCACTGAAGGTACCTGGAGAAAACTAAGTAACCTACAACCAAATCCTCAAAACATTAGGCATCTATTTGAACTTAAACTCTACTGGGTACTACACAGAGTGAGTTTGCTAGCACAGTCCATGTCCTTCTAGAACCTGATGCAGGTGACAATCTGACCCAGCAGATATAAAGGACATTTGGGTCCCTGGGTAAACAGCCATGATTCACATACAGGCTCTGCGCATAACCTTATGTTTTACCTGTCACCAGGGAGGACTACGTTTAAATGGCCAAGTTGTACAAAACAAAGCAAACTGCTTATGGAGAAATGAGTGTATAGCATTATTACAGATCACTTCACCACAAGGAGCTTGTTAGGGAACAGAAGCGTAAGCAGGTCAACGAAAGAATGGAAACGTAAGTGCAGAATAATACTGTACGATTAGCTGCTTCTAACAAAGACAGCTTTGGTGACATTCTCTCAAGGGATTCCTGCTACAGATGCACCCACATCTATCCATATTTGACCAACATCAGACAGTCAGTTTTGCCCTTTAGAAACATAATTAAGGACACTAACTAACGTATGCCTGGCAGTCCTGAACCCACTGTGTGCCAGTAGTGTGGGATCATGAAGGGCACAGTTGTATCTAATCAGAGTTAAAGTCAATCAAACACACAAGCCACGGTCCTCAAATTCACCATTGCATGAAATCATTTACCTTTCAATATTTCTAAGCATTTGTAGATGGAAGAGTGAGAGTGTAGTACAAAAAAGGCTATATAGTTAATTGAGTATGACAGTTGCCAAATACATCTTTACAAATAAGAATGTTAAATAAATAACCAAGGAACATCCTGACAGTAAACATAAATATGAAATGTAACTTTAAGTAGGCCACTATACCTTTGGAAGTCACCTAATGTTTACAAAAAACAAAGTAATTCTGCTGCTAAATTAACAGATTAGATTTTAATTCCAGTTTTTGTCTGATTTACTGTCTTTTGTTAGGACTTAACTGCCACCCCAAAATCTCACATGGAGGAAAAAACTCGGAAAATCACTTGTGACACCCCAGGCTAAGTAACTTCAACTTATTATCCAGTCATAAAGAGTTGGCTAAAGAGAAAAGTGTTGGAGAAAAAGTATCCCCAAATTCCTGGTCCATCTACCATCACTGGAAGTCAACTATGGAATAGTGAAAACGGAGAAGACACAACAGAAGTCCTCCTGCAGCAACCACACAGGGCACTATAAATGTCAATTTTAAGAAGTGCTTCCTAGATTTGGGGGGAGGGGGTTGACACAGGATCTCCCAATGTAATTTAATCTGGTTTTGAACTCATTATGGATTGCCTCCGACTCACGGAGATCCTCCTGCCTCAGCTGCTGAGAGCTGGGATGATGGGCGTGCACCACTACGCCCAGCTGCTTCCTAGACTTTTTAAAAATAAAACTCTTAACAAGAATGTGTCAGGCACGTCCTACTCCTTGTACGTGGTGGGGGCCTTCCGAGGTATTCCCCGGCCTGGCCCTAGCCCACGGCGCGCCGGGCCCCCGCGGTTGCCGGGGCTCGGGGCCAGGCGCGGGTGACACCTGAAGAGTGAATCAGCCGCGCTCGGCCCGTCCTCGGCGAGCAGCGTCCCACCTCGCCTCCGCCGCGGGACTCGCGGGCCGACAGAACACACCTGGGGCTCGGGACGGCGTTTACTGCCCGCTGCGTTACCGCCGCCAAGCAACAGTCGAGGCAGTGGGGACCTGGGGCGCTGCGGCCGGGGGCCCCGGGTCTCCCGGCTCCCCCGCGCGTCGCCTCCCGGAAGGCGGCTCGGCCC